TCCGATGTCTCCCTTCACCCACTTTTCTGTTGTCTGTCCCCCAGGGAGGGTGTTATATATAGATCCTTGTAATTGGTTCCCCCTTTCTACCCCACCTTCCCTTCACACTCACGGTACCGCCACTCTCACCACTGGTCCTGAGGGGTTCACCTGTCTTGGGTTCCGTGTGTTTCTCCCTTCTTTTAAAATTGGTGTTTATCAAGAAAAGTGCTGCGTGCCTGTGATTATGAAGATAGCTAGTACAAAAAGCATTTGCCGCAAAAAACAAGTGTTCCTTTCCTGCCCCAGGCAAGCACTCTCACCGGGAAGTGGTCTGTGTAACCCAAGTGTGTATGCGAGGGGCCTTCAACCGGCGTGTGGGAAGATTAAACAACCCTTTCATTTCATTTCCCACGAACTTTTGAAGCCCCCTTTGTATACACACGCATGCCTTGCACACACAGGCACCCCCCCCCCTCCATGTTCCAGTTGCAGCCTGACTGTGTGTCCGGTCAGAACTGTGCTCCACAGGTTCTTGCTGGCTGGCCTTCAGGAAAAAGACAGCCAGGGATTTTTTCCATGGTGCTTCTGGGGGAAATCGGACCCCCAGTCTTTCCGCTCATCACCAAGCGCCCCAACGAGATGCCCCCTTCAAGGACTCCGTGCACGAGCCCTCCCGGCTGAGAATGTCCTCGAGACCTTGCATGGTCCTCGATTTAGGTCTTCGTTCTGGCTAGTCACCAGATCTGCAGGACTCCCGGCATGGGTGTTTGGTGGCAGGAATCCGGGGGTGCCCCTTCAGAGCGACTTGGGGAGCAGAGGTGCAGATTCCTCAGCAGTGTCCAGCTCGCTCTCTGCTCTAGACCCACCCGCATGGCCTCAAGCTTTTACACTTTTTAGTGAGAAATCCTTTCCATCATTTTGTTTCCTTTTAATTGACTAGAAAATGTTTCTCACCTGGCCCAGGTGGACTAAACCCAATTTCCCTCCCTGTTGAACACTTTAGTAAGCTGGCACCCATCATCGCCAAGCAACGCGCCCCCCGGATCCAAGAGCAGTACCAGAGGATCGGTGGCGGGTCCCCTATCAAGATGTGGACGTCAAAGCAAGGAGAAGGGATGGTGAAACTGCTGGATGAACTGTCCCCCAGCACAGGTAACGCGCATGTGCAGGTGTGTGCTTTCGGCACTGGGCGTGGAAAGCGCAAACAGTATCAGATGACACCCGGGTCCGGGAGCTGCTGGAGTTTCTGCAGAACACACGGTCCCTTGGCTCAGCCCTGAGGTCCGGCCCTTGACTGGGTCACCTTTTTGTTGGCTTCTTTGTGTTTCAGATAAAAGCTTAAGACCAGGAACATTAGCTTCCAAAGGAAGGTTGAGATGTGTGTTCAATTGAGCTGAATTACAGGGCAAGAGCCTTGTACCGTGCATAAAGGCTGTGCCTGTCATTGCCCTGGGACAGAATTCGTGAGAAATGGACTGAGGCTGTTCCCACTCTTCCCTTTCTGGGTGAACGGCTAATTAGATCACGAACAACCGCCGGCCGCTGTCAGGGCAGAGATAGCCGGCCCACCGATGCCATGACCATGGCAGCATCTGCTGTCAGCACTATGCTGTCTTCCACTGTAAGGCCTCTGGGCTGCCACTACAGAGGGAGTGTCAGGCAGCTGCCTCTAAAAACCACACAGACCCTTACAGTATGGAAACTGAATATGGAAATGAACTTGAGGAGTCATGGGTAATCGCTTCCAAGTTCCATATACACCATTATATATGTGTGCGACACAAGCATCCAGGCACACACTCTCCTCACCAATTGACATGGTTAGGTTCCAGAGGTCAGGTCAGCATGTGGAATCAGCAGATATGGAGGATGAGCACATCAGATCACCAAGTGCAGGCTGACTGCATCATTGCCTAACTGCCAAGCCCCCAAGCATGCTGGCCCAGCCAGAGTGGTGCGTGACCTTACCCATCATTGCCAGCATCCCTCTGGCCTCTCACCTTGGCATTTGCTACTCCCAGGTGCACACCGTGGGAGTTCTGGTGGTATGGTGGTTATTTGTTGGGCTGCTAACTTCGAGGCCAGCGGTTTGAAACCACCAGCCTCTCCGAGGGAAAGAGATGGGGCGTTCTCCTCCAGGAAGGAGTTACGGTCTCGGGAACTGTGAATCAACCCAATGGCACCGAGTGAGTCTATTAAGTGTTAGCAAGCCTTCAGGAAAAGTGTGAAATACAAGAATCACCAGGCGGTGACACACAGACACAAAGCAAACATAGTGTTGGGCAGTGGCGCCAGGAGAGTTGCTAGATGCAGGGGTGCCGCAGACCTTCAGTTGGTAAACCAAATGCAATGTTCCGTGGAGCAAGGTCAAGTGAAACCCAGTAATCCAAGGGCTGCCTGTAACGCCTGGCTCAGGGACTCCTCTGGGGAAGGGTTGCCTTGAGACAAGATCACCCAGGGGCCCGGCCCTCCAGGAGACCCTGTCCTTGTCCCACTACCTGGGTGTGAGGCTCAGAGATAAGACCAGGACTGGCCTCTGGTTTTCTCCCCTCGCCGTTTTCTCTCCTGCATTGTATGTCTTTTTTATTGACTTGTTTCTCATCTTCTCTTTTCTGTTTCTCTTCCCTCTTATCCTCCCTTTCTTAGAAACCACAGTTTATTTTAATGCTGTTTCTTTCTACTGGGAAGCATTCTCTTCAGTCAAGCAGGTGTGAAGGTGTGAGACAAGCAGATAGGAAGGGGTCATGTGCCCGACTCTGAGGGGAGTAGCTTGGCTGAGCCGCCAGGGTGGAAGTCTTGAGGTCCACTGGTTTTGCATAGAGCTGGCCAGCCCCCTAATACAGAGCCATGTGGCAGGGACTGTGGCTCAGAATTGGTGTCATCAAGCTGCCCTGCTTTTCAGAAATTTAGGGACAGGCGAAGGAAAGAGAGAAGTTTAAGTCTGAACCGAGAAAAGCATTCTTGACCGTTAGAGCTGAACTGTTTGGATGGGGGCTTCTGAGACAGCTGTCAGTGCCACTCTGTAAGGTAGCTCCGTTCTTCTGGGGGGGGGGGCTGTGGCCGGGGCTGGCCTCCCCCTCCTGGCTGTGTGACATCAGCCACCTCACTAAGCCCCATCTCGAAAGTGGGCACACCAGGGGCCGCTTGGGATCATCGTGAAAATGAACCGCTGACCCTCCACTCTGGCCCACGCTGACAATTCAAGGAGCTCACGAGCGTGTGCCATTACTCCCAGTTGGCCTCGGCGGAAGGTTCTGAAGTAGACTCAGAAACCCTGGCATTAATTATTTCAGACTTTCCTCTCCATCGCAGACGCCATATTTGAGCCACTCTCCGTGCTGCACTCGTGGGCTGCAGAGGAATGGCGTTTTCCTGATGGTGAAACCTACTTTCTCGGCTCCTTATTCCTTTCTGTGGTTCTCGCCATTAGTCTTCGCCAGGCAGGGGCCGTTGGGTGGGCAGAGCCAGCGTCCCCTGTGGGCCTTGCTCGTGTCCTCTGTGGGGCCCAATGCCAGAGGCCTTCCCTCCTCACTCCCACCCCCCTGACCTGGCGAGCCAGTCCTCAGGGACCACAGCTTGCCACTCCTTGGTCCCCACTCAGCTCCCCCAAACCAGGGTGGAGGCCAGTTTGAACCAGCCTGTTGAGAAAGCCTTATCTGTGCTTCCCAGAACTGTTTCTGTCACCTGGGATGGCGGTGCCTCTATCTGCCTGGGCAGGGCAGCCTCTCACTCCACCACTCCCAGCTGGCCGTGCTGTAGGGACCCTGCTGCCCGGGGGACAAGGTCAGGGAAGATAGCTGGCTGGCAGTGGCATTGGGTTTTTTTTCCTCTCTGTCAGGCTGATAACTATCATCTCAAAATAGACTAGCAAGCAAACCCCACTGAACGCTCTGTGCCTATCACTAGGAGTTGTTTAAAACAGATGTTGAGTGCCGTTGCGTCGGTTGGCAGCTTCAACAGGAACCATGTTCTGTTGCTTGCACCATCGTCCTGATGCTTGCACCATCGCTCATTGGGATCTGGCTTGCAGGTCGTGTCCCCTGGCCTGCTGTAACTGCAGTCCACCAGATTGTGTGACAGAAAGCATCTGTCCTGCGAGGGTGGGCAGCCAACAATTACTCTGAAGAGACACCCCCTCCCCGCCCTTTTCTTAGTCGGCAACCAGATCATGGGGCCAACCCCTCTGAATCTAAGCTTCTCTCTCCTAGCCATGGCCTGCTTGTGCTTGTGCCTGGCCATCCCTGGGACAGGCTGTCCATCTGAGGGTCTGCACTGGTAGGCAGAGCCCATCTGCATCTGTGTGTCTGGTGCCACATTGGCTGACGCTTTGGACAGCGACCTCCTCGTGGCCTTACTCGGTGTGTTCCCTGGGTCCTCGCTGTGTAACCCGATGGCAATGGCAAGGGACTAGTGACCCTTTGGGGCACTATCCATCTTAGGGATTTATGGGTGCCTGAGAAAGCTGACTCAGAGACCTTATAAGACAGAGTAAATTGCCCCTCTGGGTTTCTGAGACTTTGTCTCATCCTTCTCCTGTGTAGCAGCTGGTGGATTCAAACCACTGACCTTGTGTTTAGCACCTCAGTGTATAACCCATACACCACCAGGGCTCCTTGCAACTCTGAGTCAACTCGATGGCAGTGAGTGATAAAAAGCCATGAGTGTCCCTGGGGGTCCCTGCACTGGGCACACCATGAATGCACTGCCCCTTCCAGAAAGGCTGCAGGCTGTAATCCGCCCAGTGACACCTGGAGAAAGCCCTTGCTGCCGACCTCGGGAAGACGAGCCCTGAGAACCCAGGAAGCAGGGCTCTGCTCTGACAGACGCTCCCCATGAGTCGGCATCGGCCTGTCAGCACCGTGTGGTTGTGTGTGCCTTTGAAGAACCATAAACTCCACACTCACTGCCGTCAAGTCCGTTCTGCCTCATGGCTGGGAGTAACAAGCCTCGTCTTTCTCCTTCGGAGTGGTTGGTGGTTTTGAACTTTTGACCTTGTAGTTAGCAGCTCAACCCATACCCACTGCACCACCAGGGCGAGTCTCTTGAAGTCCAGGGGTAGAAAGATGCAGGATAGCAGAGGCAGTGGACGACGACGAGCTGAGGGAAGGGCCACAAAGGCCCGCAGCGGACGCCATGCCAGCTGCAGTGCCTCGCGTCCCACCTGGAGCCGCAGGTGAAGCACAGCTGCCGTCCTGTCTGTCAGGACAGGTGCTGTGCTCGTGTGTCAGCATTGACCTTTCCGACCCTTCCCTGAGCATCTCCAGCGTGTGTGAAGTTCAGTGTTTGCCTTTGGCCACATGAACCTGGTGCTCTGCCGGCCCAGGGGCACTCGGTGGCAGGAGCCGGCAGAGCATGGCATGAGCCTGGGCTTTGGGGTCGGGGGACCTAGGGTGTCATTTGATGGCCCACCCACCGGCGTGGCTTTGGGCAGGTGAAGGAAAGTCTCTCAGAGTGTCTGCTTCCTTGTTTGGAAATGTGGCTGTCATGGAACACAGCCAAACTCCCAAATGTCTGGGGGCTCCGGGGGGAGGGGGTCATCATGCTGTAGGATCTGCATGTGTGCTTCCCTCCCTTCTCTTGATGCGCACTCTCTTCCCGGCCAAGAGCAAAGCAATTGTTCCGAGCAACCAAAGAAAAGAAAGGACACCAGAGCCCCTGCCAGAGTCTGCTCTGCTCATCGTGGTCCTGTGGGACAGGGTAGAACTGCCCCTGTGGGCGTCCGAGCCTGGGCATCTTCACGGGAGCAGAAAGCCTCATCGTTCTCCCCCAGAGTGACTGGTTTTGAACGGTTGACCAGGCGGTTATCAACTCAAGGTGTAACCCACGACGTCACCAGAACTCCTGTTCGGAGTCAAGGGACCTTTAACCCCTTCACTAGAGAACAGTGATGAAGAGTCCACATAGCAGCCCGAGACGCAACCAGCGTCCGGGATCTACCGGTGCCCACATGTTCCGAGCCGCAGAGGAATTGGGCTAACTGCCCTTTGTTCTTGGCATTGCATTAATGTTGGTGACTCCAGGAAATCCATATAAAGATTAATACTCTCTCCTTTCCACCCGTGCTCCCTAACAGCCCCTCACAAATACTATATTGGATTTCGGTACGTCCATCCTTTAACTGAAGAAGCAATTGAAGAGATGGAGAGAGACGGACTTGAAAGGGCGATTGCCTTCACACAGTATCCGCAATACAGCTGCTCCACCACAGGTAAGGCATCGCTTCTGAAACCCAGGGATGGGGGTGGGGGGGCGGCAGGGGAGAGATGAAGGGGGGATGGAGGTGACCTCGGCAAAGATAGCCAGGCCGTCGGAGCTTGGAAGGAGAGGCCCCGTCACCTGAGATAGGAATGGCAAATCCGACCTGTCTCCTTTAAACAGGAGAGTTCAGGTCAGTCTATTGAAATTGCACGGTTCATCTGCTCCTTGAGTTATTGGCCAGTCTACTTGAATTACAAATGGCGGCCAGGAGGCAGGGGTGCAAGTGTCCCAGCTGAAGGCGGCTCTGTAATGGATCGCTAACGAACCTCCAGGCACTCCCTCGCTCCCTGTAGAAAAACTCCCCCTTTGGTATTGCCCTAATATGGTGGGAGGGGGGGCTTCAGAAAGTTTTGGGGACAATTCTATCATCTTTTAATTCCTTTCCCTCAAACTTCCCGAAGCCCTGTGTAGTCTGTTGGATGTGAAAGGAGAGAGAGCTGCCAGATAGCATGGGAAGTATGCTTCACCCAGGGGCTTGGTTGCTGGTGACACTAACGCCCAGTGTGTGTGTGTGTGTGTCTGTGTGTGTGTGTGTTGGGGGGGTCGAGTTGGGTGGGAAGGCGGCCCTTTCCAAACTTGTTTCAGTGGTCTTGATTTCAGGAAGCATGCGCCCTCGCTGTTTCCTGACTGTTTTACAGGGAGCGGCAGAGTTCTCCAGGCTTGTCATAAATCGTGTCATTAATTGTAGGTACAGTGTCAGCTGCCACCCCCAGATCCCCTGCATCCTCCCCCAGGTGTGGGGACCAACGTGATGTTGATTCCCCAACTGCTTTAGGAGATTAGTGTCTATTTTTATCATGAAATAGGGGCGGGGAGAGGCGCCTGGAAGAAGCACCCAGTGCCTGTGATGTGCTGTAGATACTTGTGCAGCTCGCCAGCCAACTGTGCATACGCCTCTGTTCTCAGATACCCTCCAGAGCGGGAGGGAGGAGTCTCTGGTTGACAGGCCTCTACAGCTTCAGAATATCGGAACTAGATTCCCAGAGAACGAATTGGATCTTAACAAAGTTTTAAGCCAGTGGTTCTCAACGTTCCGAATGCCAAGACCCTCTACTACAGTTCCTCATGTTGTGGTGACCCCCAACCATAAAATTATTTCATTGCTACTTCATAACTAATTTTACTACTGTTATGAATCGTCATGTAAATCGTAATGTGTTTTCCGATTGTCTTAGGCGAGCCCTGTGAATGGGTCATTTGACTCCCAAGGGGGTCGTGACCCACAGGTTGAGAACCGCTGTTTTAAGCCTATCCAAATGCCTTGCTTGAAAAGAGCCACACAAGCCAAAGTGTGATGCAAAGGAGGTGCGTTAAGCAGGTGGTTATTTCACAAAGGAAGGCATGCCTGGTTCCAACCACATCTTTGAAGCGTCCAGGTCCCCGCTTCCTGCCTTGCATTTCTCCTTCGTGCCTTAGTGAGGCCGGAACACCTGAGCTGCAGAGGCAGGAAATCCTCCCTCCGGGAAGCACGTTCATTCTTTAGACCAGATGCTGCCTGTAGAAATGGCTAGAAGCTGCGTGAAGCTTTTCAAGGGGATGGTTATAGAGGTTTGACAGTCACACAGGAACGATTTCTCTCGTAATAATTACGAAAAACTGCCCAAGATCCCGGGACCCCGGAGTGCGTGTCATCTGTCCTGCAGAGAACAGAATACAAAGGGAGGAGCGGGGCTGGAAGGGACCTGTTAGCACAGCGGCCTCCTGCCTCGCTGCTCGTTCTGGCCCCAACGCTTTCTGCAGAGGGGATGATTGCCTGCATCGCCGGGAAAACAAAATCTAGCACGCTTTCCGTTGTGAGACGCGGGCCCTGCCACTTGCAGCTGCGTCTATTTCAGGAGTCCAGGGCCAGCCGGTTTCCCACCAGTGATCTGTGCAGGTCTGCTGGAATCGATTGCCTTGGGGTTGATGTGCCTTTGCAGAGCCATTCAGTCTCTATGCGTCCTAAGGCATTGGGGCGATTGTAATTCGACTGATTCGGTCTAGAAGCAGTCGCCTGCTTTGAACATAAAATTACCGCCTCAACTAGTCTGTTTTTTATTTTCATCATAATCAAAACACATTTACGAAGCAACCCCTGTATGTTTCAGGCAGCAGCTTAAATGCCATTTATCGATACTACAACGGCGTGGGGAAGAAGCCAGCCATGAAGTGGAGTGCCATTGACAGATGGCCCACGCATCCCCTCCTCATCCAGGTTAGCCACAACTGCCTGCAGGGGCCAGTCAGGTGCTGGTCCCGGCTGAGTCTGTGTGTGTCCTTCGCAGCTGAACCCTCTTGCTTACAAGGTGGGCTGAGGATGGGGCGGGGGTGGGGGCGGGGGAGGATAGGCTATTGAATTCTGGGGAGAGAAAAACAACGTAAAGATGAAAATAGTGAGGCTTTCCTTTCTTCCGAGGACTTATGCTAGTCGGAAACCATGCAGACTGGCATCTGAGCATTGTTTTTCTCAAACAAAGGCCAGAAGAGCATGAAGGATCAGTCCTGGTGTCTTATCCACCGGGAACAATGTCCCTGTTTATCCACCGGGAATAATGTCCCTGTTGGCATATTCAGAGATTGAGCGGCTGACAACGAAATTAAACCATCTAATTTCAAATCCCGTAAAAGATTTTTTTTTCCTGTAAAAGATTTTAAAGGAGTCATGCTGACATAGTGAGTTACAGGGTCAGCAGTTTGAAACCTCCAGCTGCTCTGAGGGAGAAAGATGAGGCTTCCCATTCCCATACAGATTTACAGCCTCAGAAACCCACAGGGGCAGTTCTCCTCTGTCCTGCAGGGTCCCTGTGAGCCAGAATTGACTCTGTGGCAGGGAGTGGGTTGGTTTTGTTTTTATAAACATTTCTAGATACCGTGTGTCCTCATTCTGAGGCCTTGAAGCCGACCTAACATTCCAACAGAGAATGTTTCACGTATGAAAGGGTCTGTGGCCACAAATTCATTGTACGTGCCTTAGATTGGTAAGGTCTGTTCATCGTTTCTTGATTTTTAGGAGAATGAGTTGAAACGGATTTCAAAGTTAATGGCATTAGATCGGTTTTACTTTCCGGCCCTTCGAATATGACAGTGCTGCACACGCTCAACTTCCTGGCTTCGAGTTATTTTAGGTCAGAGAAGTAGTAAGTGATTTAGATTCCATCCAGTTCATTTCTTACTCCTTAGCCATCCTCTGGCTGCTGGCAAGACACCGGGTTAAACCACTTTTTAACAATCCCCGTGTTGCTTACAACCCACCGCCACTGGGTGGCGTCAGACATCACTAAAATCTGGCCGGTTCTCCTGCAGTTCTGCGACCTGTAGGTGGTGTGTAAAGGGCTAACAGTGGGGAGGAGGGTCAAAGTCCCTTTTTTTTTTTTCCAGAAAAAAAGTGAAATGGGGTGGGGCCTTCTCTTGGGGTTGGGCCCGGTGTGCGCCCCTCTGCAGGCGGCGGGCTCTTGGGTTTGAGGCCTGCTCTGCCATGTGGCGGTGGGGCAGGCTGGTGGAGGGGTCTGTGTAGCATCTGCCTGCCCTGATGGCGGGAGTAATTAGATTTACATTAAAATTCAGGCCTTTGAAAGAGGGGGAAGTGGGAAGTTCTCTTCACTGAGGAAATCTCTGTTCGTGAAATGAAAGGGATTTCAGAGATGCTGCTCTGACGGCTGACTGAAGGCTCTGAGCGCGGGCTGCCCCTCTCACGAGGCCCCAGACCCCGCAGATGGACTGGCCGATCCCTCCCCTGCCCACCTCCCATGTACTCAGGTCAAAAAAGATGTGAAGTCTTTGGGAAGCGAAAGTTTACAGATAGGCTAGGTTCTTAATATCATGTAGAGTCCATGAGAAAAATAGAACCCAACCAAATCTTTGTATTACTTGCAAATCTATGTTTCTCTCAGTAGCAGTTACTCAGCCACTATATTACTGTTAGCTTCAGTGGTGCCCCTTATCTTAAATCCCAGACTCTCAAGTCAACGTCGAAGCGACCTTCCCTCTGGGCTGTTGTCCAGAATCATTCAAGCACCCTCTGTCCCCTCCCAAGCACTGTGCAGGCCAAACATCCACACTGTGGAAACGGTTGCTTCTGTTGCTCCTGAGCTGTCACAGCCACCCTGCCCGGGGAATCTTAGGGCTTGGAAGGGGAGCAGACAACCCTCCCCACCCGCAAATGTTTCTTTCAGGACTGCCTGGCTCATTCCGTCCTAACCACCCACTAACCCTTCTGCCTGGTCCTGGGAAATGGCCCTTTCTAAGGAGTCTAGCGCGTTGTGTCTGGGACCAGTCTCAAACATACCCGCGTTGCCAGAAAGACCAGACATCCAAGGAGCTCCCGTACCTCGAAGGGCATGGTGTTACTCACTGGGATCCCGATTGTGTTATTTGCATACTCTCTGCATGTGTGGATCACGGATACACAGACGTGGTAGACATAAGTTGTGCCCATCATCTCCCGCCACGCCCAAATACTTGAGTGCGTGTGTCTTGTCACGTTACAGTGGCAGAAGCTGAGGGCTTCGGCATTGGACGCATTCATCTTCGGCCACTTTAACAGTGATACTGTTCGCTACGCTCTGTCCTGTTCCGATTTTGTCCATTGACCCCTAACGTCCTTCATAGCCCCTCCTTTGTGATTTTGATGACAAAGGATGATTAAAGCGCAAGATGAAAGCCAACCTCTTCAGATCTGGCATTTCAACACCTACAGAAAGTGCCAACTGGAGACAGGAGGTTCACCGGTCTGGGGTCTGGCAGACAGAGATTGGGAGGAGGAGGCGGGACCCACCTTCCAGCCCAAGTCCCACAGATGTGACCGAATGGGCCCCCCCGGCACCAGTCTGCCCTCAGGGCGGTGGGCTCTGGAGGGCACGGGGTTGAGAAGGAAGGTGCCATCGAAATCGCCCCCAGTTGTCCCCTTCCTCTGCGATGACCTCCAGCTAATGGGATCGGCCTGCAAGCCAAACGAAGGAAGAGTGAGAAAGCACCCCCTCCCCCGCACCCCCCAAGCCGTTTTCCTGCTCACGGAGCCCAGGAGCAGTCTTCAAACAAGGCCTCCTTCCCATCTGGAAGTGTGCCCGCCCCTCCTGAGGGGAAGCCGGCCAGAGCGCTGGTTTTCAGCGAGCCATTAGCGGGCTTTAGAAGTTTCCCGTCCAATTCCCCAGGCTCCTGCGGCCCTTTGCCTCTGTTGTGATGAGCCAAAGCGAGAGGGGCCAGGCTGTTTGCAGTTTTTTTAAAAAGAGCACACACACACACCCTCGCTGCCCCCTCTGAGATTCGTGGGCCCGTTCTCATTGAGAAGTGTTTTCTTCCTTTCCCCTCTGCTGGTGATCCCCGCATCCTCCTCCCCCGCCCCCCACCACAGTGCTTTGCGGACCACGTTCTCAAAGAACTGGACCACTTTCCACCCGAGAAGAGGAGCGAGGTGGTCATCCTCTTCTCCGCTCACTCGCTGCCCATGTCCGTAAGTAAGGGTGTGGCTTGGGGGCGGGGGTGACCTCTTGGTGGGAGGGTTGGGTCGTTTTCATCTTTCAGTGTGTAAAAAGGACCCAGCTTCCATAATGACCTCAGTACCGGCCAGGGGTCTGTCTGACCCCCACCCCACCCCCGCGTCCCAGATGGAATTGGATGTGAGTCTATCTGTACTCCCTGACTGAAATCTACTCACACTTCATTCAGAGTATCATATGGTCAAATCGATGGTGCTTACTTAATAACTCCTCCTGGAGGACCACCCTAGGAGAGAGCCCCACATTTCTGGGTGGCCTTGAGGTGCCTGTGGGGCTTGACACCTCTGCACACAGCATCTGAGGGCCTCGACCCTGACTAGGCGTCCAGTGCCCCTGCCCTAGGCCTCTGATGGGTTGGCAAGGGCTGTGTAGATTCCACCAGGCAACCGGGGTTTTCACATGGACACATGAGCACATCGCCTGGTGGCCTGGCGTCCCCTTGTGTGTCGGGCCACGCACAGCAGGTGTGCTTTTGGAAAGAGCTTGGGTGCATGATGCTTGCTTGTCTGCGTGCTGGAAGTAAACAGCCAGCCTGCAGCCCTGACAGCATCGCTTCCAGAGCCAGGGTGATGTGGAGTGACCACTTCCTAGGTGGTGGAAAGGCTTTGAAGGTCATGGTCAGTGGTGTCCACCTGAGAGTCTGGGAGGGCCACCCTTCTTTTACTGGCCTTGACTGCCACCTGGTGGCCAGTGCCCAGCTTTCTGCAGTGTCCCCCAGCCCCCACCATCTCAGCCAAGCTGTCCCCACTTCCAGCAGTAGGTGGCCCTGGAGAGCAACTTCTCTATGCTGGAAGGAAGCCTGCCGTTCCTTTTAATGAGTTCATTCCTTCCTTTCCTGGGTCATGCAAATCCTCCCCCCACGTCCCTTCCTTTGGGGTGTGTGGCCAGCCTGGGAGCCAGTGGGAGAGAAGGCGTGCTTCATGGATGAGTCAGATTCCTCCTGTGGCCTGCTGCACTCGACCAGACTGCACAGAGCCAAGTCCTTCTAGGGCTTTCTTGTTGCCCAGAGCAGGGCAGCCCAGGGTGGGAATGGGGGATGCCAGGAAGTCAGGAGACCAGACTTGTGGTCAGGGAACCAGAAGCAGGAGGGAAGACCATGGAGCTGTCCAGCTCTTCTCTGCCACTGGAGTCGTGGACCCGCTGGAGTCGTGGTTATGGGTTCGGCTGCGAACCGAGGTCAGCAGTTTGAAACCACCAACCAGTGCTGAGGAAAGCCTTACACTCCGGGAAACTCATAGGGCCAGTTCTAACTGGTGCGATAGCAGTAAGCTTTAAGTTTATATGCCAGACGAAGTTTTCAGTGCTTAAGGTGTGGGGAAGATCACGACAGACTCACATCTTTGTCCCCGGGGGTGAGGATGGGCGATAGCAGATAAGGGTACAATAATGCATCAGACAAGGGTGTGTAGGGGTTGCGGAAAGGGACTCGGCATGCAGCTACTCCCTAAACCCTAAGGCAGTGACAGCATTCGCACTGAGCCCTGAGCCCTCCGCGGTTGAGAACGAGCTGTCCTGATGGTCAGGAGCCTCTGCCGACCTTCCCTGTGCACGGCCCGTCAGAACGAGGGTACAGTCTAGTGCCTCAAGGCGCCGGTCATCTGAACCTGCAAGCCGCCTCTGCCCTCCTCTGTACCTGCCCTCCTGTTCAGTGTTCACCCTTTCTGGGTCCCGGGTGTCCCCATAACCCTGGTCATGCTCTACGTCCCCCACATAATACCCCCCCCCCCATCCGACCGGTGTCAGCACTCATGGAGGCCCCACGTGGACCAGCGTGGATCTGCTCTCTTCAGGCCTCCAGTGGCTGATCTTGTGGAGGGAGACAGACGGGCTTTCTACTCCCCGAAAGAGTGACTCTTGGAAGCCCCCGGGGCCAGTCTCCCCTGCCCTGTAGGGCCCTTGTGGGTCAGAATCAACTCAGTGGCAGTGAGCTTGTGGTTCTGTTTGGGTTTTGATCTTGTGGAAGTAGACTCCAGCCCCTTATTCCAGGGAGCCCTGGAACGAGAACCCCTGCTTCGTGGTTAGTGGTGTGGTGCTTAACCAGCTGCGCCACCCAAGGACTCCTTGTTCGTACAGCATTCTCCCAACTCCTGTTTTAAATGCTCAAGTGCGCACTGACGAGCAGCCCCCATGCCATGTGGGCACTGCCTGCCCGGCTCCTTCCTCTCCCTTGTCGCCATCACAGGTTTGTTCTTAATCTCCCAGGAGGAGTCTGCCCTTCGAGATCAAGGGGTCCGAGTTCTCCTTGTGCCAAAAGGAGACTGGGCCCAAGGGCAGCGAGTGACCCAGCCTGGCCGATATTTCTGGTGACAGAGCTAGGAAGGGGGGGCTCTGGTCCCAAAGCCCCTCCATTCGGAGACTCACAGAACTTTGTGTCTCTGCTGCAGGTGGTCAACAGAGGGGACCCCTACCCTCAGGAGGTCGGGGCCACTGTCCAAAGAGTCATGGATAAGCTGGGCTACTCCAATCCCTACCGACTGGCGTGGCAGTCCAAGGTAGGTGGCTCCACGCGCCGGACTTCTTGATGAAGCTGTGCCTGTCGGCCCTTGTACCTCAGTGCTCCCCCAGTTCGGGGAGACTGTGTGAGCCAGGAGGGTGGGAGGGTGGGAAGGGTGGGCCCCCTCTCCACTGCCCGACTGAGTCACTCTTGAGACCATTGCTGGTTTGTGTTCTGCCAGTTTCTCGAAGGATGTGAGCTTAGATGTGGAAATAAGAGTGTCTGAACCCGGGTGCTGGGCTGGGCGGGCGCCTCTGGAGAAGGACTCAGGGGTTCCCTCGCCCTCCTCCTCCACAGGTGGGCCCGATGCCCTGGCTGGGCCCTCAAACCGACGAGGCCATCAAGGGGCTTTGCCAGAGGGGCAGGAAGAACATCCTGCTGGTCCCGATCGCGTTCACGAGCGACCACATTGAGACGCTGTATGAGCTGGACATCGAGTACTCGCAGGTCTTGGCCAAGGAGGTGAGTGCCGGCCGGTCCTTCGTGCCCATGCCTCCGCAGCCGGCGTGATCAGACTTCCCGGGAGGCTCGCTGTCCTGGCCCTGACTTCACTAGAGGCCGCGTCAGCAGGGGAGACTTCCACCAGGCAGCCCAGAGACCCCTGCGGGCAGCCTCGTCTGCTCTGTCCAGTGTCTGCACCCCTCGAAAGTGAAAACACGAAACAAAACCCCCGATGTTCCCCTGTTCCAAGGAGAAGCAGGTAGCCGGCTGCAGGCCTGTCTCCCTGGGTGCCGCAGTCTGTGGGAGCCCTTGGGTCTCTCAAGGTGGAGCCAGCAGGGTTCTGCTTCCCGTGGCCTTTCTGATGCACTCGCCTAATGAGCTACTCGCATCCTGCTGTAATCAATCTGATTATTGAAATCACAAATACCTCCCTTAGTGTCTTGTAAGCCAAGATGGATGTGAACTGCCACTCAGGGTGGAGAAAAACTGCTGCTCACCCACTCCTGGCTTGAGTCCAAGTCCTAGTGTGGTTTCCATGGAAACCATGGACGCCTTGGTGCCCAGGAAGCCCCGCCCCCCACCTCATCTCCTGCCAGCGCCCCCCAGCCCTGGCCACGAGGTGTGATTGATGGAGGCCTGGCCGCAGAGAACACCTCGCCCACTGGGACCAGGCAGCTGGGGCCCGTTTGGTGGAGCCTGGGTGTGAGGAGCTGCAGCCAGCCCCCAGGCCCCCAGGTGTTGGCGCGTCCGGCTGGCCATCAATCAGGTGCTGATGGAGTGAGGGAGGACCTCAATTACTTGTCAGCAGTTGTGATAAAGGATTTGCGGGAAGGCTGTAATTGGCCAACACGAGGCTGCAGGCTTGTGGATGGATGCCACTGACGGATGCCCTCTGCTCTTCCACCCGAGCCGAGCCCTGCTCACCACAGACCCGTGTGCCCCGACAGTCCGAGCCAGCTCGCCTTACTTGGATGACAGTGCCCATCCATTCAGAGACCTAATCGGCTTCTGACTTAATAATCAAGATGACGATTAACAACCGAGGGGATAGATAGCCAATATTCGATCGCACCTACTCTTCCTCACACCAGCTGTGAGGCTGTAGATCACAGCCTCAGGTTCCGCTTCTCGGGTCAGTTCTGCCAGCAGCTGCTCGGGGAACCCCCACACCCCCATCCCCTCCTCCCCACCAGCCAGAGCAGGAGCAGAGCTCAGCGGTGAAGGGCACAGGCAGCCCCAGAAGCTAGCTTGGGGCTCCCCATGGCCCCTCACTTCTGACTGGCTGGCTATAAATTTGGGGGTCCCTCTGCTCCATTTGCTCCCTGTTTACTATAACACCAGGCCCCATCCACTCCCCCTCTTGCCTGTTACTCTCTGAAGGTCAGTAATTTGGTAGGACGCCTCACAGAACTCACAGAAGGGGCTGTGCTTGGGATTCCAGCCATCTTCCTGAGGGGTCAGCAGAGGGGGCGAGGGAGTGTGAGGTCTGAGAGTCTTGGCAGGGCAGAGCTTCTGCAGCTGGAGAGGCCAAGCAGGAAGCTCGTGGAAACCGTGTCCAGAGCTATCAAAGGGGCCTCGTTACGTTGCATAAACTCCAGCCCCTCCCCGCTGAGGTCCATGTGAGCAGGAGGTATTCCATGGTAGGTCTCTCTGGCCTGGTCAGCCCCCCACCCACTGCCCCTCTCTGGCAGAACTTGTCAGGTCTGGAGTCTTCTCAAGGATACGTGACCATTAGGGAAATTTGAAGGACACTTGAACCATGCGGAAGATTTCAAGGGCCCCTTTTTTAAGGGTTATCTCATAAGAATTGAGGACAATGACTAAATTCTTTGGGTGAGGTCAACGTAAACCCTAAAGCTACCAATGAAGTCAGTCCACATGGAGCAAGCTCTAGTTTTGCTCATTATTTTGATGAGGGACGACACTGAGTTTTCACAACTTTACTAAGTCAGTTTTTTTTTCACCCAGAATGGAAATAGCTTTATACTTTTTTGGTAGTAAAAACAGAGTTGAGACACTTTAGAGGAGTATATAATATCGAGAACAGAACTCATAATCTGACCCCTCAGAGGCTAGTAGAATCTGCTCACGTGAGAGGGGTCTTCAAAAAGTTTGTGAACACCATACATTATCTTTCAATACCATTTGCTCACGGATTTTTGGAGTTGTCTCATACTTTGGTAAAAATACTCATTTTTTTAAAATGTGTACATTTTAATAAAAATGGTACGCGCCTACATGTCTAACAAAATGATATTTTATTCATTCTATTTTGTAGCCCCCCCCCAAAAAATCAGGATGGACCTGAATCACTAAATGTAATTAAATCTATATAGTTATTTATTTTTGAAACCCCCACCCCCAATTAGTACACATTTAAGGTATTTCTAAGTTTCACTGACGTTTTCAGTTAAAGTCTGTACATAGTAGGCTCTTTGTGCGTTCCCCAATTGTTGTCCTTAGGATACATTCCAGATGTGGATGTTTTGGGTGACGGGTGTGCACATTTTCAAGTATGACGGTCTTGCCCCGGCCGGCCCAGCACGTACACCAAATGTCACCTCGCCTGGAATTTGAGGACAAACCCTCGACGTTGAGAATGAGGCATTTGCTGCATCTGGCTCGGCTTTCTGTGCCAGTTTCCTCCTCTTCATGCTGCTGGGAAGAGTCTGTCCGGCCCCTGGGGCAGGACCGGACAGCCCTGACTCTTGGAACCCCTGGGGCAGGTGGACAGCCCTGACTGTCAGGGCCCCTGTGGCCAGGTGGACAGCCCTGACTATCGGGGCCCTGCGGCAGGTCAGACAGCCCTGACAATCGGGGCCCTGGGGCAGGTGGACAGCCCTGACTATCAGGGCCCTGGGGCAGGGTGGACAGCCCTGACTCTTGGGGCCCCTGGGGCAGTGTGGACAGTCCTAGCTATCGGGGCCCTGGGGCAGGGTGGACAGCCCTGACTCTTGGGGCCCCTGGGGCAGGTCAGACAGCCCTGACTATCAGGGCTGTGGGGCAAGGTGGACGGTGGACGGCCCCCATAGGATCTGCTCAGCTGTACTCACTGCCGAGCAGGTGCTTCTCCTGTGGAAACTGGCTGTCTCTGAACACCGACGTTTCCCTCGGCGGCCACGTGCCTAACCTTTGTGCCACTAGGCCTCCTCTTAACTTAAAGGCCAAACATCTGAAAAGCCTTCACCAGGCCAGCAAAGGAGGAGAATCTACCTACCCGAGTCAGAGTGCATCAAAATAGGGATTCTCAGTCACGTGGTGGCTTCTGAGGGGGCCAGCGGAAAAAACAACACCCAGCTTTCCCTGAAGAGTTTTATATGTAAAAGCAGGACAAACCCCAGCTCCGAGTTGGATCCAGTGCGGGTCCAGCTGTGTCTGCAAGTCGGTAGTTAATGTGCTTCGTCCTTCGCCCAAAAGTGGCCGCCTCATCTGCCTGTCCAAGCTGCGCTCGGAAAGGGAGGATTTCCAAAAGGAGGAAGACATGCGTGGGGAGCACATTGGAGTATGTCTGGAGAAGACCCCTGACCCATGGAGCCTCAAACTGGCCTGGCAGCGGACCCCTTGTGGGGGTCATGGGCAGGGGACGACTCAGAAACCACGGGACAGTCTGTGCTCAGGGGGTCAGCCGAGCATCCATACAGGGGCTGGGGCGTGCGTGCGTGTGTGCGTGTGTGTGTGTAAGAGAGAGAGAGAGAGATCGACCATTCTCTTAGACAGAAACAAACAAATGCGCGTGTGTTTGCCCTCCCTTTCTCGTTGCTGCAGTGTGGTGTGGAGACCATCAGACGCGCAGAGTCCCTGAATGGAAACCCTTTGTTCTCGAAGGTACCACCGCCTTCCAGTCACTGGTGGCCCAGGCTGAGGGCCCCAGGCCTCTGAGACACACCCATGCAGTATTAAAATCCCCCCATCCTAGACCATGCTGGGCTCCTATTAATGATGAAACTGACCCCGGCTCCCCCACGCTCCCACCTGTTCTCCGCCTCCCCCTTTCTCCACCTCTGTCCGTGTCTGCTCCCAGAAGCCCCCGTGTCGTGGCTGGGGGAAGAGGACCTTGTTTTTGGAAACCCCTGTCCCAACTCGCTCTCCACTGAGGACTCTCAGGAAAAGAAGGCTTAGTAGGGTCTGCTTCGAAGGATTCGCCCTCCAAATGAAAAGGAGACCCCCAACCACAGCGATTACCTGGGCAGACGGGAGGGGTGTCTGGGAGACCTTCGCTCCCGACAAACCTTTGCCTCTGCCACCTGTCTCTCGCAGGCCCTGGCCGACCTGGTGCTCACGCACCTGCAATCCAACCAGCGCTGCTCCACCCAGCTGACACTGAGCTGCCCGCTCTGCGTGAATCCCGTCTGCCGAGAGATGAAATCCTTCTTCTCCAGCCAGCAGCTGTGACCCCCAGCCCTCCACCTCCCTGGCTCCCCCCACCTCCCCCGACGGCTCGGGAGAAATCATGGAGCGCTCCATGAAGCCGCTCCGTGGGAAAACCACGGGTTTCCCCAAGGGTGGGCCCCTCGGGTTCTTATATTTTTCTACACCACCAATAAGCTTTCGACTCCTCCTCTCTGGGTGAAGGCACTGGTTTGGAAAGCCCACCGGGCCTTCGTTTGTTTGTTTTGAATAATGAGCTTTAGAAGTCTTCCCTGTGAGACGCGCACATTTTTAAGACAGGGTTTAGTTCCTGGTGCCCGCTTGGCATCCTGGAAGGCTCAGGAGAGGCCCCCACATCTGGGGGCCATCCGTCTAGGGGAGTGGGGTCTCTCCTGTCTCATGCCTCTGAGTGAGGGCTTCAGCTAGATCGTTCGTGGGAAAATGGAATGAAAAGACAATGGGATTTCCCCACCAGCGGTCTGCAGCCCCCTGGTATCTGAGGATGTGAGTGACGGCCCGTCACTGCCTCGTCCTTCCCCGAGCCGGCCTTGGTCAGCCCCCCGTGAGGGCTGTCCTGCCTGTTCCAGCTCGGTGGCCCCACAGGACAGAGTACAACTGCCCTGGTAGGCTCTTCCCACAGAGCTGGCGGGGGGTGGGGGGGGACCCACCAACCTCTCAGCTGGTCACCAAGCACCTAGCCAGTGATGCCAGGAGGAAGAGGCGGCTTCACGCCTTTGATGTGAGCCTCTCGCGTGCACAGGCTCCACGCATGTGTTGCAGCTGCTCAGAGATGTGCAGACATGCACTGCACCTCATAGGTGCTGTGGTAGGAAGTAGGGCCCACAGGGCAGGAGCCCTTACCACCCCGTTTCCAAGGACAGTGGTTCTGGAAGGTGCTCCTGCCCACCCCAAACTCTTCCCCCATCTCCATCACAGTTGAATGTCTGCCATCGGCATAGCTGTTTGAAGAATTGTTTCATAAAGTCCATTGGGTTTTGTAACCTTGAACTACCATTTTTTAATTGCACAAATTATGTAGCCGTGCTACAGACACCTGAAAACCAGAAGTTAACCACCGGGCGTCACCACCTATCACGTCTTTGGGTTTTGTTGCCATCTCGGCCTGAGATGATGCCCTTGCCAGCATTGCCCCCTGGAATTTGTGAATGGCAGGTGGTTGTAAGAGTAAACATAAAATGGCATCAGGATCGTGGATTTCAATGGATTAAAGAACTCTCTGATGGCTCTGCAAAGTGTTTCGAATGACTCCTCTGGTCTCCAAGTCAGAAACCTCCTCTCGTTGAGGAAGCAGACGTCCCGGAGGGATCAGGATTTCCTATGTTAATGATTAGGGTCTCATGAGGGCTGCCCCGGTTTCTCCCATTCTTGCCATGGTTGTTCGGCTCTGGCTCATAGAGGCCCCACGGACCCAGGATGGCACCTCGCCCAGTCCTGCGCCACCCGCACAATCCTGGTGCAGGGCCCCTGGTGCAGCCACTGGGTCAAGGCACCCTGGTTGAGGCAGGACCTGTCCGTTCATAAAAGCACTAAAAATCCATTCACCGAAATTGTTGACTGAGATGAGCTGAGCTTGTTGAGTAGCACCTGAGGAGAAGCACGCCATCGCTGTAGTCCCTCATCTGCCGACAACGGCATCGGCCCTGAAGCTAGAATACCGTCAGCCTTTCCCCGTTGGCACTCCCATCGGGCCGTGTTCCCGGTGGAAGGCCAGAGGCGCGGCCAATTGATTACAGTTGGCTTCCACTCTTTGCCTTTGGCTCTTTGGGCCTCCATTCAAACTAGGCCCCGAGTGCCTGTCTCCCTGCCCTGGTGGTGCCAGGCCTGCTGGAAAGCGGGTTATGGACATCAGCCACCCACCCTGTCCCCCCTTCACTTCAGGTGCTTCTCGGGGTGCGGATGTTACTCTGGTGATCGCCCAGGAAACTCAGAACCTTGGCATGGGACACAGGTCCTCAACTGATGTGGCCCTTTGGGAAAACAAACCAGCGTCCCCTGGCAAGTAAAGATGTTTGTCGTCTAGCCATCCTCCAGGGCAGGGTACACATCTGCTTTCGTGCTCCATTACCCCCACCTGCAACGATCACTCCAGCGCCGGGGCCTTATGAATCTGGCTCCATTGCCCACTTTGGCAAACACTGAGGGTACAGTATCTGCAGTTGTGGAAACTTCTGGAAGACGACCCTTGACTGAGTTGTGTCCAGACCAGCCTTGGCTGTGTGATAGGCCAGGGGAAGTTTGTTGAGATGGCTGCCCAGGACTTCTGTGCTCTCAGTGTGACGCCGGACTTGTTAAACATGCACGAGCCAGGGCCACCTGCGAGAGGAGCTTGGGGGAGGGTCTCCTGCCTGAGCTACTAGCCTGGAGGAGCTGTTACCTTGTGTGTCAACTTGGGAAAGACAAGGCTTTGCCCTGGTGATTAGCAGTGAGCTGCGCCCCAGTCCTCTAAACAGAGGACTCAACTTCTTGGGCAGATAGGAGTCCGGGCTGGTCAGCCGCCAGCATGATTATAAGGCCCAGGCCTCCCTGCATGGAGATAATCCACAGGGAAAAGTGACTCCCCTAAGCAATACACAGTCACAAACTACTTCCCTTGTTGAAATGCAAAGGCATTTTCACATTGGAGGAAAAAATGTGCTTCGTGTTGGGAGAAATGAATGCCTTTTGAAGGCCTGCTGTGGATGGGTGGCGTGTTGGTGCTGATTCCAGAGTAAGTAACCACGGCTCGCCCGGCAGCGAGGGGGCAAGAGCAGGAAGCAGGGGGCTCTAGGGGAGAACTGCATGTGTACACACAGGTGCCTGCCCTAGGAGGTGGTGCCTGTTTCCCTAAGTTGTTGGCCTGAGAGTTTCCTGCCAGAATCCTGACCCTGGAGCCAGGACCATGCCCCCAAGCAGCAGGTGGAAACGGGCCATTTGTTGGGATGTTACAAACCAGGAGAAGAAAATTCTGAGTTGGCCCTGAAACAGGTACCCCGAGTTATGAGTCCAGGTGTCCCCAGTGAGCCCCCAGATCTTAATAAACAAAATGGCGGCCCTCAAAGGGCAACAAAAGACAGCAGTTCTTTACTATTTCCCCAAAACTACTTTGCAAACAGCCAATCAGGGTTTCATCCCTGAGCATCTTTGCAAATATTTTTTCCCAGCTGCTCAATCATTGAGACAAGGCGCGCTACTATCCCCCGTGCCCCGCTTCCCAGTATCTTCTCCTGGCCCAGGTGGCTTTCCAGGATGCTCAATGCCCCCTTTTTTTTAGAAACTAGCATCAAAATCTCAGGGCACTTTTGTCAAATGCATTAAGTAAAACCATACGATCCCTCCCTCGCAGGGGCGCTTAAAACTAGTTGCCTGTTAGATGAGGTCATGTTGTTGATGCTGTGGGCAGACACCTGAAAACTTGACTTCTCCTTCTTTGTTTCCAACTTCCACATGGACAGTTGTCTGGTCCCGGCCCTTTGCAACCCAAGTTATGTCTTTACAAAAATGCACTTACGTTGAAAAGTGTAATGTGTGGGGAGGATCCCTGGGAGGTGCAAATGTCCAGCACACTGGGCGACTCACTCAAAGGTTGGCAGCTGCCGTCCACCCAAGGCCTTGCGATCTACATCTGAAGAATCGGCCAGTGAAAACCCCATCAGAGCCCATCTCTATCCAGACACACTCACGAAAGGGTCTGCTTGAGTTAGAATTGAGTCCGTGACACCTGGTTTGTAAGTGGTGCAGAGCTGCCTAGCAGTGGGGCTGTGGGCAGTACCCAGGTGGAAACGCATGGGCACTCCAGAGCCGGATGCTGCGGACATACATCCAATGGGAGGAATGTGGTGAGCAGTGATAACAGGTGTGACCTTTGGCCCGACTAACACTCTCCACACATGGTGAGTCTCACAGGAGTGCTTGCTTTCCGTGGACACCCACCTGGTTTCCTGGGTCCCCAGAGAGGAGGAACCACGTGTGCTTGTGGGAACCAGACACTCCCCACAGCAACCTGCCTCTCACACGATATTTTAATTTATGAAAAAAAGCCTCCCAAAATATTAAAAAAACAGATCAAGCCTCTGGTTGTTACATAATCTGGTGTCGATTTGAGAGGATTATGAGTGAAGGGGTGGAGTCTGGCCTGTCAATCAAGATATAACCAATGTGGGCTCTGTGTTTAGGCATGGCCTTCTGAGAATTCTGGGAACTCCTGGGTTTCCTCTTTGGAGGCGGGAGATACTTCTCTCTCTCTGCTCACTCCCTTGGCCATGCTCTACTGACAAGACTCCCACACGCCCTGAGAGATGCTCTAGTGACAAGACATGTGGTGCTACACCCTGGGAGCTGGAGAAGCCACATGGACCTACCCTGAACCAGCCTGAACTCCAGAGCGAGAGAAGCCACATAAAGACCCCTGCCAATGGTGACACACTTACAATGCCACTGGACCCACAAGATTTCTAACCCACTGGCCTGTGACCCTCCTGCATCCAGCATCATTACATGTGTTTTGTGAATCTGAAGAGGACTTTAGAGATTGGTATCGAACCTATGGGCTCTGGGCGCATGCTGTGTTTCTAGGGTGGGAACAGCTTCACCTGAGGTGCTGCTAACCTTTCTTTCCAAGTTGGCATTCAGGGGTCAAGCCGTAAGTAGCTTCACATCAGCTGTGGTGAGAGGACAAGGGGGCTTTGAAAAGTTTATGGAAAAGAAGTTTGCAGAACCAGCTCATAGCAACCCGGTGGACAACAAACTCAATAGCACCTGGTCCTGCAAGGTCCTCACAACCGTTGTTTCATTTGAGCCCGTTGTTGCAGCCTCTGTGTCAATCCATCCCAAGCGGGTGGGGGGGTGGGAGGTGGGGGTTCCTCTTTGCCAGAGGCTCTCTCCGAAGTGCATGAGACAGTGTCTCATCATCATGCCTTCTAAGGAAGTGTTGAGTGGAGATTAGAAATGGTTGGGTCTGCAACCGTTCTGTTGTGAGCAGCTCAAAAACCTGAGGTATTTTTGTGTTACTTAAAACCATGATCTGATTTAGCCTAGTATTTTGACACAGAAAAGTTGCTTTGGGGAGGGGGCACGGCCTGCCTCTTCTTAAGATGAGGCTGTGGCTTCTCTGAGGGCTTGCTTCGGCTTCACAACCGCTGTTTCTTCTGGAATGTTCTTCCGGTGTCTGTGATGGTCTAAGAGAATGGGGCGGCGTGCCATGCCGAGAACCCCCGCATCTCAGCCTGCTCCTGATGGAGCTGGCTCTTCCAGGACACCATGGGCTCTTCTCACCACCACGTGGTCACCGAGCCCTCGTGTCTCTGCATCAGCAGGCTGTCTCTCTTGAGACACAGCCCCGTTTCCTTCAGGCCGGGCTCCACAGAAAAGTAGCCCGGGGCCTTTCTTGGTGACATGAGAGGCAAGAAACCAAGATCTCCGTGTCCGACAGCGAAGAAGCTCCGAACTGAACCACAACAGACGCCAGCCCGCTGTGCCTCACACTCCCTGCACCTCCTCTGAGCTCTGCAAACCCGTGTTCCCCTGTCACAGGCACGGGCTCCCTCCAGGGCTGAGTACCAAGCTCTGTGGTTGCCAACAGAAGAGGTCGGCCCGGTCTTACTCTCTGGAGAGCTGAAGGTCCGGAAGCATGCTCGAGCATTTGATTCTAGCGATGTAACAGGAGCTAGAATTTGGAGGGTACGTGGTATCTTCTCAAAGAAACTTGTAATGCATTTCCCCAGACTAAAGATATGCACAGCGGACGCTTCTGCCTGTTTGCTATCTGCATGAGCACCGAGGAACAGAGAGTTCTAGAAGCTTACACGGAGGCGGCTCCAGGGCCTGGAGACGTTGAGTTGTCTGGCCCTGGCTCTGGGCCCGAGGGGGCGAGTGGGCTTCCCACCTTGCCTTATGGAACCTCCCTCAGTCTCTTTTCATCACTGCTTGCCCCCTCACGTGTAGAGGTCAGTACCAGGTGGGCTTTCTCTGGGTCTGCGCAGGACCAAGCAAGAGGAAACTCGGTTCCACTGACTCAGGGTGGGTGGGGGGAGCTGTGGAGAACAAGCAAACTGGCAAGGTCTGTAAGGCCCGAGGGAGGTCCTGAACAGGATGCTGTCAGTCAAAAGCAACAAGCCGAGCCACCCTTAGAAGGTTCAGGTGTGTTCCTATGGAAGCAGGTGCCTGGCAGGGTTGACGTGACTTCAACATGCAGGTTTCTGTTCCTGACATTTTACCCTGTGGGGTACTGGCAAGTGTTTAGCAACTGGCTCTCTGG